ATTAGTTCCAGTGGAGACAAATAGTTCAATTAACCTCAGCTCTTACACAGACGCTCCCCACCTTAATGTACATGGAACGGCATCAGAAATGTTGTCTACTTTTATTCCTCAGCGGAAATATTAGAATCGGTCGATGGTTGCACGGAGTTTGTTTACGATAAATCAGCTCCGATTGCAAATGTCACCTAATATTCATGCTTCCAGCTGAGAAAACTGAACGTAAGTAATACTTCAAGAAATTAACTTTTGTGCTTAAGCATGACTAGAAAATGTTTAGCGTGAAGTTTGAAGGCAAATGCAAATATTTAGTCCTTTTAAATTTGTGAGTCTAAAGAAACTGCACCGTCACACAACGTATCAAGAAATCATGGTTTATCAGTCGAGAGGACCTCAACTTGCTAACCATATATACACAGGAAAACACTGGGCTTTGTTATTATTTTATATCTGTCCGTAAAACTTTGGTTGTTGATACAAAAATGCTGATTTTAGCAACAGATGGGAGTTGAAAGTAATGAAGTCAATCATGCATAAATTTTCTTCCGACAGTTGCAGACTGCACGGCGCGACACGCACAATGTTTACTAGAACATATGACTAAAATTTCATTTCTGCAGAAATTGTCAGGATTTTCATCCAATCGAAGGAATTTCAATGTGACATAATTTAAATATGTAATTGCAGAAAGTTCTGTTCGAGAACTGGAACTTCGTATGATTGTTGTATAATTGACTGATTGTTCCTTATTCATCCAAGAATTTTGTGCATATACAGAAAGCGAATGTTTACCCACCTTATAATAAATGGCATGTGAACAATAAATATGGCAGCGAGTGTCTGAAAAAGACTAAGACCTAAGGCCTAACACTCCTTCCGAATCTCAAAAACAAGTCAAAATTCACCAAAAAACAACACCCGCTAAGAGAAATCACACTAATGGCCGCTGCACAAAAACACTCAACCTTTTGCCAGTGGAACCCAGTCTACACGCCAAGTAAAAAACACGTGACAAACGCTTTGCTCTCCTGGACAAATAAATAAATATTGCTGGCGTTGACAAAGTGTGGGAAATCCCACACAAAAAAGAAAGACTGACTATTATTTTACAAAGTTTTAAAGATAATGCAGATCCCCCAAGAGAAATAATTGCCCTAGGGCTTGACCAAGAAGCATTCTTTAGTATTGTAATAAGCAATGGTTTAGATAAAAAACAGAATCAGGTTGAAGTCAGAATAATTAACAATTGAAGGGTTTCATGCAAAAAGGGCGTATATCGCTTTTTGGGCCGATTTTCATTTTTTCAGGATCGCACTAATATTTGGTAGACTGACTTGTTTTGACATGAAAAGCATCGCTCCGTAACTGTTTTTGTTGATTTGCGTTTCATTTTCGAAAAATGACGAATGCAAAAAGGTCAGTTTTCCAAGGGCATCTTTAGGAGATCTTTTGTTGCACGAAACCTTTTGTTTCGCTAAATGATGAAGTCACCGAAGCGTGGCATTTGCTGCTAGTTGTTCAAACCAATACAAGTTTTATCGTTCATATAATTACGCTAATCTCTTACTGTTGCTTCGTTAGCACAAGCAAATAAGGTGGTCAATTTTTTTTCCCAGTCTATTTCTCCACTTCTTTCAAAAATGCTGTCGTGCTCACGAAGCTGCCAAAGGTAGCCGTTTAAGTTTGCGTGGCATCAAAATCCACCTTCAGAGGATTCACTCCAAAGGATGCTGCTTGAAAAACTGATTTTTTTTGCATACATTATTTCTCGAAGACGAAGCACAAAAATAAACAGAAACAATTACGCAACACTGATTTCATGTCAAAACAAGTCAGTCTGCCAAAAATTAGCTCAATCCTGCAAAAAATAAAAATCAGCCCAAAAAGCCATATATGCCCTTTTTGTATGAAAGCCTTCAATTATTCGCCGAAGGCAAAGTGAACATTGGCGACTGTTCATCAAGTCAAAAGTCAAGGTGAATATTCGCCAATGTTCACTTCGCCTTTGGTGAATAATTGCATTAGTATAATTTTCAGAGCTGAACAAAGAGGACTACAGAATAGCGGACTAACACATAAAAACACAGACCCAATTGTTTGTTTGCATACTGATATGCAGCCATAGTTTTAATAAAAAGCTTACATGTACATCGATTGTGAATCAATTTACTCCAGTTCAGCAGTAAAACAAACAAGCGAAACACTATGAAAAATACATTCATCCAATACCTTTGTTTTATCGTTGTTGACTTCATTCATTGCTGTCATTGTCGTCTAAAATGAGTGGCTTTAGATTGAAGAAAAATATATTTTGGTCAATCGATCTGACTTGCTAGTGATCAACGTAACCACTGCCTAGCATTCATTTTGAAAATTCTCCATCCTTTCAAAAATTCTGGACTTGGAGTGATGTCTTCCGAATAAATGAAAAATTAATTCAGCAACTGTCCACCATGTTTACTTGTTGAGATGGCAAAGGTGGCAAGCTTAGTAACCAGGCCTTGAAATGTGGCATATAAGGAATTGCTCAACCAATCAGATTGCTGGAAACTCTTTGTTCAACTCCGAAATAATACTAAAAACTGTATAAAGGAAATGAAAGTACCTATTAACAGGATCTCCTCAATCATGAGGTTAGTGACTTGACCTCATTATCTAACTGAACAAGAAAAGTAAGTTTTAGATAACTTACCGAATTGCTTCTCGCTGTTCAGCTTCCCTCCTTTTTTTCTGGTCCTGTTTCTTCTCCCTCTGCCTCTTGGAAGCACTTTTTTGTTTTTTTCTCTTGATCTTATCTTTTGGCTGATTTACTTCATCTTCCTTCAAAATATTAAACAATATCCACCAGTCAATTCAAGCAGTGCCCAGACTGACCCTCTCCCCCAGTCAAGTATTTTCTTGTTTCCTGATCCCAAGGGTGGGGCATTTGAAATCCAGGGACCACACATTTAATTATTTTTGGGACAATGCCAGGGGCATTTGACACCCTTGCAGTACTGGTTTTACATGGGCTGAAGAAGAACACAAAAATGATGTTGTTCCCATATCTATTTCATCATGATCAGCTTTTGATCAAATCTGGATCAACAACATTAACAACAACTGGAACTTTTGACTCACATGTGATCAGGCTGCATGTACCTTGAAACATTGAGGGTCTTGGGGAAACAAAACTCACTGTTTCTCTTGGGGCCATGCAGTCATTAAGAGGAAAATGATCATCATTATGAGAAAGCCAAATGTCCAGCTTCTGGCAAGACCTGTATGTCTTAAGTGTGCATGGTAAACAGGGGCATTTTCCTGTGAAGCACATACCAGGAGAAGAAGTATATATGCCCCAAGTGATTCAGGCAATGAAGTACATCAAACAAATATAAGCACTTAACACAAGAATATGAAGAGGGAGGCAGCAAGTCCACTGAAGCAAATTGCAGTGCAATGCCTTTACTGAAAAAGGCTCGGGAAATGTTAGAGGACTTGTAGGAATAATTTCTAATACCATCCCAAATACAAAAAAAAATCCCCATCACACAGGTTCAGAGAATAACTGCAATACCACATTTCAAGATGAAAATTACCGAAATACCGCAAAAATAATTGTCCTATACCGCAATTCCAAAAACATCAATGTATACCTGTAAACTTTTTTTCAGTAAAATGCGTGAGATTTTTCGTCTCCACAGAACCTGAATTTCCGAAGATTGCCGAAGATCTGCAAAGACTTCCGAAGATCGCCGAAGATTTCCGATGACTTCCGATGATTGCCGAAGATTTCCCAATGACTTCCGAGACATGTCATGTCACACAATCTAAACATAAGTTTGTATCGCGAACTCAATACGCATAACGGAGTAAGCTTGAAGACGCTTTTTTGCTGGACTCACCAACTGTTTTTCGCCGAAAAAAAAAAACTGAATTTCTTTAATCAGCTTTTAAGCAATTACACTTGCTATTGTCAGTTAGGCATGAGAAATTGGTCTGAATGTGTGAGATCACAATGTTAGATCCATAGGCGTGAGACTCACGCATAATGGGTGAGAGTTGGCAGGTATATCAATGTCCCCTTTGACACCCTAGTCACCACAGCAAGCTTGGCAATCACTTTTTGAAAGACTTAACCTAGTGGCTTTTGTTTCTACAGGATTTGAATGGCATGAGCATGTTCTATGATAAACAATGAGTTACCAGTTCATGTTTACACTTGTACACCAATGTCTGCACAAGGTCATTCGGCACCATGTTTGGGGACTTTTGGCTTTGTGACACATTTGACAATGTTGGCATTCAGAGTCGCCACTCCATTACCTTCAAAGAACTCTTTATTTCTTTTATTGCTATTGCCTTAGCAACCACTGTGAGGACTACGGCTTTTTTAGTGTCACACAAGATCACTGTGAAGCTGTAGTTCACATACTCACATCCAGTAGTACCAATTGTTTAACATCTTGTGACACTAATATTTACCTTTTTATATCTGTTGCAAGTTTAACATTGTACTTATATAAGGCAGTGCAATTTCCCAGCATTGAAATGCCCCATCTGATGTTTTATCTCGCTTGCAAGTTGTGCAGTTCTGAGACCTGAGCTTTGCTAATCTGCGATATGAGCCTGACAACGACACCCACAGGTGAGGAATATCTCACGTTAACTGTTAAGACATCCAAGACGGATAAACAGTGTTGTGGGGCTGTTCTCTACACTGGTCATGCCAAACATGTCGTCTGTGCTGTATATGCAGTGAAGCCAAAATTGGCACCTCCAAAAGACACAACCAGATTATCAGCCCAGTGACCCTCACTTTCATCTCTCTTTGGGATCTCCTCTAACCTGCCAATGCCTAATGAACTTTGTTTCTCCTCCACTCTGGCTTACTGGCTAANCAACACAGTGGTCACAACTTACACATTGGAGGGGCCACATCCGTTTCTGTTGTGGGCCTTAAGTGCTAGGTAATCAACTTGCTTGGACAATGGTCTTCGGATTGTTATAAATGCTATATTCGCTTACTCCTGAGCCTCTTTCTCAGGGTACCATGCCAAATTACCCACATAGGACTCACATCCTATCAATATGCAAACTCTTATATTCCCCCTTTCTTAAATATTTCTGGACCACCATCTTTGGGAAGTTGTATTGTGTCCCAGTACAATATAATAAACTGCTCAGTAAAGGCCCAACATGAGTGTTCTCTCTTCATTAATTAATGACACAAGAAGTGGAATTAATATTAATTGAATTTAATGGGGAGTGGCAAGGTTTGCTAGGATCAGGTTTTCCAGTTGAACTTTCGTCATCTTTGCTTGCTCACCATGCATTACAGCCAAATCATGTACCCTACACTCCCTTCCCAAGCAGCTGCATTGTGTCCCTATACAATATACAGAGTATATTAGACTTCTTAGTAAAGGCCAAACATGAGTATTCCTCACTTCATTTATATTTAATTTAGTAATGAGACGTTAAGGTGGCTCCCTAGAGTATTTACAAACACCCTCCCTATAGAGCGCAAGTTAGAAAAGGAAACTTAGTTAATTTCTCTTAAAGTTTTCCCTGTAGAGATATACCAGTATGGGTACTGTTAAAATAAGGCTTATGTTTTGGTTGTCAATTTTTGGATTAAGGCCATTACCACGGCAACATCTCATCTAATGACTGGCAGATATATTCCTCATTTTGACCTAAACTCCTTAATATCTCTACTTTCCTTCAATGAAATTTTTTCATACTTTGCCACATCGTGGAAATGATATTGCCTGACATTTTGAATTAGTGAATTGGTCAAGGTTGTTCAGATGGGTTTTCCAATATTCTTCAAAATATATTAGATTAGCTCTGACAGATTTTAACAAAAATAGGGTATTTTATAGGAATTGTATGTGGTTAGAACTGAGCCGAATTTAAAAAAAAATTCACAGAAGGAAACGCGAGAAAATTAGCATTTATTTGGTCACACTGACATCACAAAAATCAGAAAAACACGATTGGTGTCACGCACGGTTATTTATTTAGGCGCACTCTCGTGTGATGTCATGTATCGCGTGTGAAAAAGCAAGAGTAAATTAGAGCTCTTTTACAGGTTATTTATATAGCTTTTTTGTCATATTTTTTTGGCCCTAGGCTTAAACACATGTTTGAATGGAATGTGCTCTGAAAATGAGTCTCGCATAACATTCTCATGTATACTTCCTGGAGTATGACTTTTGTTAAAACTTTGAATAAATTTCACACATCTCATAACTGAAGACAATGCAGCAAAAGGGACAACGAAAAGAGACAATGCACGTCTTGAGTTTTTCAGTCATATTATTCTAAAAAACATCTAACAAAATTACATTTGTCGGTTCGGTCTCTGATTCAACAAGCATCGACTATGCTTTACTGTACCTTCTGCAGCTTTACATATGTGTAATTATCTGTAATTGTTTAGATTTAGGTACATGGTAATACTGTTGCAGACATGCTGTGCAGCTTTAACTGTTGCTGTTCTAGAAATGATTCAGATTCAGAATGAAACTGTTCGACTTGATCACGTTTTATTTCCAGTGGTTTCATTGGTTCCAGTTGTCAGGGTCAACATCATTGTTCATTTGTTCATTACACCCATTCAACTTATCTGTGAGTCTCATTTCATGAATTTCAGAGTTGTTGATAAATCAGGAGAGCTTATTGAGGTTATTTGCAGTGCAAGGGCATTTTTAATAACAAAAAAAAAACAGAGAAAAGATCAAGAGCCACATGCACTGAAAGAAGAGTTAATTCAGCAATCCACTCCCATACCCAGAGTCTTGATTGTCTAACATGTAATTTCTTTGGTGTAAAAAACAGTCACCAAATTTGAATTTAGTCCTCATTAACTTTTTAAGTTCATAGTGTGAGAAAAAAAACACAGTAGCAGCTAGTTAGAGTCCTCAACAAAAAATGCATTTAAGAAAATCTTTTATTCATCCTATAACTTGATGTGCGGGACCCTTGTTAAAGCAGTAGGATTAAAGTGGAAGATCAAAAATACCTCTGAACCAGAGCCACTACTGCTATCACTGTTGCCCATGTCATCCTCAGTGGATTGCCTCATTGCAGTGCTGCCTGCAGACTTGTTTGACTTGCTGTCTGCCTCCCCATTTTCTCCTCTGACTCCACCCTCTTCTTCTTGATTTTGCTGCGCATTGGCATTTGGGCTAGATGAACTGGGTGCTCTAAGCAACTTCTCTGACTCACAAGTTCTGCCAACTTCAGGCGTAGCAGATTCCGTGGCTATATGTACATTTGTGCATGTCAAAAGGAAGGGTTCTTGTTAATTTGAGATCAGTAAATTATTCATGCAGTAAACATACAGTAAATTTGCAAAAGTATTTGGCCCTATAATGAGCCCTGTCACAAGAAGAAGACTTGTTATGATAAATATATAAGTTTGCAACAATATTTATCTTGTTCATGCTCCATATAGTGTGAAAATTTTCTTGGTAGCTAGATCAGCTACCCAAAAGTAGGCCTCAACCCTCCAAAGGTAAGAAAGGAAAGTTAACCTGCTGAATCCAAAAGTAACCACTAGTAACAAGGGCCATTACTTTTACAAATTTGTAATACTATGCTTGAGCCTTGTACATAAAGAACATTGACAATCTCTCATAACAACATTCTGTTAAAGACCACTTAAGGCATCCTGAATATTACATAAATTGATAAACCAGGTTAATTACAAGACTATTGAAGAACAAATAATACAGCACATGTATTTGACAGCCACCAAGGGACAATTCTGTCCTTCATATACAATAGGATCTACCTGTAAGCTGATACCCAGTGTTGGATGCCTGCTTAATAGACATTGGCTCTGATTCCCTGGAGTCACTTAAGGGGTGTTCAGTAGCTGGTACTAATCCCGATGTTGTGTCAGGAAGTGTCTTCTGCTGCCCTTCAGGTAGCTCCTTTGATAGTTGTAGGTTCTGCAAAGCAGTTGCAGTCACATCATCAACTCCACCAGGGACAGAATCAACTTCATTTCCAACAGACTTCCGTTTTGCAGGTTTCCCTTCTTGTTCACCTTCATCCTTTCTTTTCCTTTGTACTCCATCTGTTGAAAGTAAAGTGGTAACCACACCAGTTAACAGGTCCATAATCATAAAAATTAATGAAAGACAGATGAGACATTCCAGGTACTCTATAAACACAATTAATTATTACAATTAATTGATGATCAGAAAAAAATTATAATCAAATGTATTTAGCACTGTATTCTTCTCTTCCAAAGAAAATCCAAGGCCATATATCATGGAAATCTGGAAACTTTACGGACGGCCAGAAACTATCAGTCAAAAATATATTCCATCTTGTCAGGACCCCACCAATAATGTAAGCTTCTCCCATGATCTAGTGGCCTCCCCCAATCCTGCTAGGAATCCCAGTTTTCAATGGAACTCTCCTGGACAAAATAATGTGTTCAACTCAGGCTAAACTTCTCTGTGATTCTGACTATGATAAGGTTTTACACTTAGTGCATAGTATGTTAAAGGATATATTCACTACGCTCTATATGAAGACAATCCTAAGGAATTATGTGAAATTATGTGAAATTCCCTCTATGATGGGGATATGGATATTTTCTGGAACAACACATTTCACTTTCCTGAGATAATTATTAATACAAGATGGTAAATCTAAGATGGCACATGTTATGATGTCAAAACTAACAAAAGTTGTGTTGTACAGCAAACTGAGGGCTATCAAAACAATCCTTCCACCCCCTTTGTAACACAGACAGACATTGATTTACTTGATATCTCGAGCTTCACCTTTCTGTAAAGTATGCACTTTCAAAAACATTGTTTATTTTTATTTATTTGTTTATTTATTTATTTATTTATTTATTTTTTAACATTTAGGCAGATTTTGCCCGCCTATACTTCCTTATCTGCTACAATTATCAGAATAATGCACCAGTCAGTGCAGGTTCCTGCTTCCTTCCCCCGGGGACCCCTTTCCCCAGGCCCCAGATTAGCGGTGCAATTAATAAGTCACTTATACTTCGAAATAAAATGACTGGTGCATAAATCCCTTTACCTGTAGGAAACAAAAGGAGATAATTATTACCGAAGAATAAGATTAATATATTGAAGACGATCAAAACTATAATACCGCTATGAAGCCACCGGCAACCAAACAAACTCCCGTACATTTGGTAGGGATGGATGACGTCGTTGTTCAGAAACCGAAAGTGAATCAGTCCTTCGACAGAAACAATTTAACTCTTTTTTCTCGAAACTATTTTAGTTCAACAACAACTGGTCCAACTGGTATCAACTTTATATTCACCAGTCTTACCAAGTGAAACGCCTGTGTCTTCCTGAAAGTCAGATTCTTCTACATTCGTTGCGGGTGCCTTGCTGTTGTCGTCAACTGACGGTGAACATGGTGAACTCGGTTCTTCTTTTGCCTTCGATATTTTGCAGCCACATTTAAAGCAGAAATCGTGGTCTTCTCCAAGAAAAGTGTTTCCACACTCTGGACACTTCATTTTCGGTGTCTCAGGACGATGTTTGAGAAACTAATAAAGCCGAATACAGAGACTGTTCGCAGCCCTGCACTGACCCGCTCTTCATCTTCAGCGAGCTTTACCGCATTTCCGTGCGTATTCTCCGAAAGGCGGAAGTGATTCCTGGAAACGAAATCGCCTGGGGATTCTGTCGTCAAAGGGAGGTGGTAAGGGTGGGGTGGGAGGGGAGGGTTAGTGTTTTTTGGTTCTAAAACAGGACGTAACACATCGATAATTCCGATACTCGATCAAAATCGATAAACATCGATAATAATCAATCGATTAATATCGGAAATCGATCAAAATCGATGGCCCAGTTCTTTGTGATTATCGATTTTGATCGATTATATCGGGGACTGAGGAAAAGCAACTTTCAAAATCAATCCTGACGTGTGACGCTGAAAGAATTGCAGTCACTTCCCCTCCCAGTTGTTTCGCTAACGGTTAGTGAGATCAGTTCGCTAACGTTGATTTTAGAACAAAGAATATAACACCATCACTCCGCGAAGAAATATACGTTTGCAAACTAACTTAACACGTTCGGTAGCCCAGCGGTTAGCGACACATTCACGCCTGCAGCATAATCTGGCATAATGCATCTGAGCCTGTGCAACAAAGCAGGCAAAACACAAGCACAAAAAGAAAAATAACAAGTTTTGAAGCAGCCCAATAGAATCAAGGTACCTGTATGAAGAAAAAAAAATGAAATTTAAATGACGCAGGTAGACCCCCTCCCCCAGTATCCTCTCCTTTTCATATGGCGCCTCGCTCGCGCTCGAGTTGTACAGTATTTTTCATTCGAATGCAAACTGTTTTGGCTGCTCCACGCCATAGTATAACAGTATAAGTAACCTCGGCTATGAAACTGATAAAGGTGCACTAGCCCGGTTGACGAACGACTACATTTTCGTAACGTAATGAATGGATCGGTTTTTAATGAAAATTATATTTTTGTCGAGAATCATGGCTTACGCCTGCTTACGAAATGTGTTTCCTAAGCTAGGGTTTTACGCTTGAGGTCACCAATGTAAGGTGAGAGGCGACGGTTTAACAAGCTACGCCTGTAATAAGTCAGTGCCCCCTTTTCGTGACTCGTATACAGTATTCCTAATGCCTTGATATCACTCTCAACACTACTGTTTCGATCAAATTGGCTTCCTGAGTATATTATTAGCGGGTGTTTTGTCGCGGTATCCCGACAGTTTCTCAAAATCGATAGAAATCTATACCCGATACTTAAACTACTGTGATTATCGATTTCGATCGATTAATTTGCTTAGTCCGTTGATTATTATCGATTGAAATCGAGTAATATCGATTTATCAATTAGGTTTCCAATGATCGATTTCGATCGATGCGTTACGTCCCGTCTAAAGAAAAGTCACGTCGACGAGTTTACCCCGCAAAGTGCACGACTGCAATGTCTTTTTTGTCTGAAACTTTATTTTGTCTTCACTCTTTGCCGAAAAGTAACACCGAATTATCATTAAAAAGCAGATTTCAAAGAAAAGACCAAAGTCCTGATGTGATCATCAGTTTTACGCTTATACTTAGCCCGCAGAACAGGATTTTCCGTGGTTTTTGGCAAAGTTCCAGTAACATGCGCGTGAAAGGAGAAGCGAAAAATATTGCGTGTACGGCACACAGAGTTGCATTGTGGTGTGAGCTGAGTGTTGCAATGTTTGCGTTGAAAAGATATATACATTTGGCTGGACCTCTATAAGAAAGATATTAAGAGGTCCCTGTAAGACTTTCTACGACATTGTCATCCATAATTGGACCATAACCAAAGACGAATATAAAAGAAAAAAATATCTGCTGGAGTCTTTGTGTGATCTCGTGAGCTGTCACCCTCTTCCCTGGCGTGAACAAACCATGACAACCATCATGCCTGTCACACATCACACAACAACGCGATTTGAGACGTCACGTGACCGATGTGGTCGCCCGACTTCACGAGATTTGTTTGGGCTCAGAAAATAAAGCGAACTGAGGGGATAATGGACGCGTATATCGGATACCATGAGCACAGCCGTCAGAGATTTCATACTGCATGACATAGATATCAGTTGAGATCGTTCACAAGAGGCTCGGGATATGGGAGACATGTCGACAGAAAGATCGCCGAGAGGGAGACCAAGGAAAATTTCCGAGAACGTTCGCGAACTGCACGCTGTACTGACAAGAGTACTCAACAACGAAGATCGAACGTTTTTAATTCAATCACTAAACCAATATCAAAGAGAAAAGAATGTCAACAATCTTGTGGCATCTCTCAAGTCAGTCCTCGATACACCAAGAAAGAGAGAAGTATACCCACTGTTACGGCAAATTATTCCCCATCATGACCAAGAAATTTTCTGTAGACTTTGGGTGCACAGTTTCGAAGCCCGCCAACGTTCGAAGTCACCCGGTCGATCGCCGGTGAGTCTACGCAGGATTCCCACCTCATCGAGTCTTCCGGACAATCTTCATAGGCACGCATCGGATTCAGGGATAGATCTTCCAAATTTAACGCAATACCCTTCTTCGCGGGACGTGAAGTATCCCATCAAGCGAATAACCGTAAAGCGGCCTTCAAGCGCTGGATTTGGCTTTTGCATTCGCGGAGGAGCCGAACATGGCGTTGGTTTGTATGTGTCCTCCGTGGACGAGAACTCCGTTGCTGAAAGGGAAGGCCTTTTACCCGGAGATCATATCTTTCAAGTTAATGGGACCAAATTTGACGGACTTACACACGCGCAAGCTGTCAAGGTAACATAAGAAAATTCGCTAATGCAGTAAACTTCATCATTTTAGGTTGTGCAAAATTTGTTCATTGGCGTATTAAATCATATAAATTATGGCCACCTGGAAACCGTTTATATATCTGGGCATTTACTTGATTTTATTTATCAGCACTTCCCTCTGGAGTCGTCTGAGGAATTCTAAAGATGGAATTATTGGGTATTGAAAAGAATTCTACGGCTTCTGCTGAAGTTCGGGGGCGGTTTTTGTGTTTACCAGCACAAGGTGTAGTATTTATAA